CACACACACACGCACACACACACACACACACACACACACACACACACACACACACACACACTTTTTTGTGAAAAGTGGGGACATCCTATAGGCATAATGGTTTTTCTACTGTCCAGACCGTATATTCTATTGTCCTACACCAACCCTACCCCTAAACCTACCCCTCACAGGAGACTTTCTGCATTTTTAGATTTTCAAAAAAACTCATTCTTAATTATTTATAAGCCTTTTGAATTACGGGGACACTGAAAATTTCCTCATAAATCACCTTCTCGTTGTAATACCTGTGTCATACCCATGTTATTATACAAATTTGTGTCCTCATAAACCACATAAACATGCATACACACACACACACACACACACACACACACACACACAGCCTACATATGCATACATATATTTGTTGTTGTAGCTTAAACTGGTGCCTTATTTACACCCACAGCCTAAAAATGCAAATATCAGGTTGGCATCTTTATTGGGCAAGTTGTCTTCTTTTTTTTTTTTTTTTTTTTTTTTTTTTAAAGCTAAAATCAGAAACAGAGAAACACTGCTGATGATAATATATACATATGTATTTCATGAACGCATTTCAGTCATGAAAGAACTGAATTTGGAGTGCATATACAATCCATTAATTTCAATTTTCTGGACAAAACAATGATTTAATACATTTGTTACCGTTTACATTTGTGCTGCTTTATGAATTGTTTTATTACTGTTAAACAGTTTTCCTGAAAAGCCATTAAATGTGCTTATTTATTATTAGACTATTCATGTTTCATAGTATTTGTTGTATTGTCTATATGCTGCTTTTAATATAAACATGTTCAGTTTCATTACTGTAGTGACAAATGAATGAAAAGCACCGAAGATCATGTGAAACATGTGAATAATGCCACAGCAGGGAAAAAATATTTGAAAAATGAGCCTCAAAAAATGAGCTTCGTTTTCTAGCAAAATAATCATTTGCAGAAGTCTCCTTGTGAGAAAGAAATGGAGAGACTTTATGCACATCATATGAATGTTGCTGTCACTTATTGTAACAATGAGAATAGTAGTTGTCTCTTATTAGCATGTTCAAAAGCTGAATATTTTGATCATTCAAGCAGAGCAAAGCCTAATGGTTTCAAACCGTTTCTTCATCTACTTGTGTTGAACAATGAAGTGTAAATATAACACAGAAGATAGAAGAACAATAAATTCTAGATTATGGCTAACTTGCTGACATTTTTACTATATAATATTAAATTAACATCGGAGATTAAATAACCAGCTTTACGAGGCTACTGTGACACTGCACTGCTTTACTAATTCAGTTTGTTTTCAAATGTTTCACAGAAACCTACCTTTTCTCCTGCTGCATAAAATTAGTCAAGACGTACAAAGACATACGCCACAAAGGATTTCTTCAAATTGTGCAGGAACAGACATTTGTGAATTATGTATTAACAGTCATAACACAGAATGACTGGGACATTGAAAAACATGCAATCTGACTTAGTTTTTCTGTGTTTTGTTTCATTTTGTAATTGCTTTGTCCCTTTGTCCAGCAAAAACTCACCACATAATTGCTTCTGGCTCCTCATGATTATTGTTTTTATGCCCCGACATCAGCATTTGTTCTGATTTAAATCTACATTTGTGAAAAGCTAAATCAGGCTTTGTAATAATTACAGCAATCAGGACCATTCAGACTACAGTCAGAGAGGGAAAAACAGCACAAACCTGCCAGAAAGACAACAAAAACTGTGAACACTGGGAGGCAGTGTTATTCTTTTGCATGAACCCTTTTAACCCTCGCTTGGGTGCAACAACAGTAAATGTGAACTTGCAAATATGAAAAGATGCTTGCCAGCAAATTTTGATACAAATGAAAATGTTGGAAACAGAAGCAATCAAATACAAATAGGCCTAACAAATATCAAACCTTTTAGACTCACTCCACATAATGTACAACATGGAGATATACTTAAAGTACATCAAAACTCATATTTTATTTTATGTATAGCAATACAATTTACATATTAAATAACACTATAATAGAATGCTTTAATATAGCTTTTAACAAAAGAAGAAAAAAAAAACAAGAAGAAAATTCCTCTGTGTTATTCCAGATTAGAAAAAGTGGATAGGATGGTGACACCCACCTGCTTTGAAACGTATTCTTTGATTTACAAGATCTATTGCACTTCTGGACAATGAAACAGATTTTATTTTGATTCAAAGGGGAAAAGAAAAACAAAAAGACATACCACAATCACTGCCTTAGTTTATGATTGTTGTGTGTTTGGAATGTAATGTTAGCCACCTTCTGAAGGATTTGGGGACATATTGAGTTAACCACCAACGAGAACTAAACACAAAACTAAAAACAAACAAACACAATTGATTTATATGAAAATATAAAGTTTGCAACTATTTACCAGGATACAAAGCTTTTAGAGACTGATGGGTTAATGAAGCGACAAAAGATATGTACATTTCCTAACATGATAATGTAAATATGTTTGCAAATGCTCGAGCAAAATAAAAGGAAAAAAGGGACACCACAGGACACAAATGTTAGAAAAGCTTTAGAAATGCAACTTGTCAGCTCTAATTATCTTATGCGATGCACAAGCAAAGTCAGAATATTACCCCAAATGTTGGAGAGATGTGACTTAATTTTCCTTCTTAGGAGAAACAAGACATGAACTGAATAAACACCTTCAGTGTGTGTCTTCTCCATCTCAACAGCATGACATTGTCAGTCTTTCTAAAGAATTTCAAAAGTTAAACAACATTTTCAACAGCTTTCTTCTTCACATCAAAAGAAATCAGTAATAGTGTACATTCTCATTCGTTTTTACTATAATTGCAACAGAAAAAACAACCAAAAATAAGGGTGACCTGTCAGACAAACAAATGTTTAGTGAAGCATCTTGGTCAAAAATAAAACAAACAAACACTCGGAATGCAACAAAAAAACAAAAACGCAAAGCAAACCATAAAAAAACCAACCAAACAAAAAAACGCCAAGCAAAACAAAAACGCAAAGCAAAACATAAAAAAACCAAACAAACAAAAAAGCGCCAAGCAAAACAAAAATGCAAAGCAAAACATAAAAAAAACAAACAAACAAAAAAACACAAAGCAAAACAAAAACGCAAAGCAAAACATAAAAAAACAAACAAACAAAAAAACACAAAGCAAAACAAAAACGCAAAGCAAAACATAAAAAAACCAAACAAACAAAAAAGCGCCAAGCAAAACAAAAATGCAAAGCAAAACATAAAAAAACAAACAAACAAAAAAACACAAAGCAAAACAAAAACGCAAAGCAAAACATAAAAAAACCAAACAAACAAAAAAGCGCCAAGCAAAACAAAAATGCAAAGCAAAACATAAAAAACCAAACAAACAAAAAAACACAAAGCAAAACATAAGAAAACCAAACAAACAAAAAACCGCCAAGCAAAACAAAAACGCAAAGCAAAACAAAACAAAAACATTGACATTTTCAACACTGTTTTTCCAGTCACTACCAAAAACATTCTTCTTAAAACTGCTTTACCAAATAGTAAAAGAAAACGTTTTCACGTTTCATGACTGAAATGAACGACAGTTGTAGTCTTTGGTAAAAATTTATGAATCACGGGTCCCCAGTTTTTGAAGCGGTAAGACTGATTCTAATGTTTTGTTAGCAAGGCCTTTGTGCTGTATGGCATGAGACAACCGTTTATGAAATTACAGTAACTGTATTTCCTAGCAGTGTCTGAGAATCACAAGAAATGAGAGACATTAAAAGAGGTCAGTTTAGTGAAGAAATGCTTGGGCTGAGTCTACAAGTTTCTAGTAAAACCAGTCAATACCAAACACAACACACACCTATATCACACACATACACACACACACACACTTGCCGAGGTGAAATGAGACTGTACAGAAGGCATCGAGAGACTTGTATACATTATTCTCAAAGTTATGGGACGCTTATGTCAGTGAACTATTAAAAAAACCCAGGACGAAGTAGAGCAGTATAAAATTACAAAATGAAGTGGGCAAATAACAGAATTAACTCCTACACTATGAGTCGCGTGATGTCATTACACGTTCAGTTGCACTCAAGTGACAAAAGTAGCAGCTTGCAGCATAAAGCAATGGCGAAATCAAACCAGCAGGGGGTGCTAGAGAAGTCATGGGCTCTGCGGATCCTTCAACCGAAAGCAGAGACTGTGACGGCTGCTCGAAGAGACAGTTAACATTTACAAAAGCACAAGTTATCATGATATACGATATATATTAAAAGCAGAATATGAATCATACAAAAGTTCACAGTAGCTGTTTTAATACCACCTTTTGAAAGTAAATATGGGTTTAACTAGAAGCATAATGAGTAAATATACTATTTGGGGTGCGCGAAATGATCAAAAGCGAACAAAAATCAAAACTAACATACTCCATATTGTTCATATGGTCTTTCATCGGTGAATCTGACGTTTTGTGGTGGGTCTTCGCAAGTTGGACATGGGAATAATCTCTTTTTCCAGCATCTGAGGTGTGCGTGGAAACCGTTTTTCGTTTGTGGCGGATATCTCTAAAGCTTCGGAGAGCAGCTTTATTATGGGATGTCAAAATAAGGGCTTGACAGCGAGAATTCAAGTGAGTGAGAGAGACTGACTGTGGTCTAGATGGTGGAGTAGGCAGTAACACTGATGTTTTCATAGTGCAAACTAGACAGAACTGGTTTTGTTTGTCGTGAACTCAAAAACGTCGGTGCAAATGTTCAGTAGGATAACATTAAGACAAAAAATGGCGAAAAAATAAATATCAAAAACTTTTTATCAGTGTAAAAAAGTAATCAGGTTATTCTTTTAACCAAGAGTTCTGGCAAAAAAGGCCTCAGAAAAAGTCTGTCTTAGTCCTTGAAGTTTTACAAAGTTAGATTAAGTGCCTCTTCGTGCCTGTTCAGGGGGGCTTTAGACGAGGGACTCCATGCTTTCAGCCGGGTCCGATTCATCAGACATGGCCACGCTGCCGTTTCTGTCCAGGGACATGGGGCTGGATCCGTTCTCTTTAGTGCTTATCAGGCTGAGCATAGCTTTGTAAAGGTACTGGTACTGTTCCTGAAACACGGAGGCAAACATGAAAACATGACTTCAGAAAGGGGCACAGAAAAACTGTGTTTAGAAAAGGTACAACCAAGACAAACAAGCATGTGAATGATGCCTGCTATGCAAAACTCGCTGCCACAATGCTCCAATTCTGCTGTGTAGATATGACCCTAGTGCCTCCTTCCAACTCCAGGCCAGTATGTGGCAGAAATTCGGCTTTTATCATGGTGTGTAAAAATGTCAGAAGCAGCAGGAGAACATTTCTGTCACCTACTGGAGAGGAGTGTGAAGTGATGAACGGCTCACAAGGGATCACAGTTTAACTTAAAACTGATTCAATAATATCGATCCTTGCACTTAAAATGCAGAAGAAAATAGACAGTAAGGCCACATTTGATTAATTTGTTCCCTCTTTTCGGGAAAAGTATGGCGGTATTGTACTAATTTGTTCTAAACTGGGAACAAATTGTGCTGTGGGTATGAACTCGTGGCTGTGTTTTATTAACTAGTTGCCATGTTTTAGTTGAATCGGAGCCACACTGTACTAATTTGTTCTAATTCAGTGTCTCGTGTGTGAACTTATTGCCACTATTTACTATTTTTTCCAGATAATGTTCACATTGTACTGATTTGTTCTAATTCGCGAACAAATTAAGTCATGGGAACAAATTTGTGGCCACATTTTATTAATTTGTTCACTCGTTTTAACTAAATCGTGGCCAAATTGTACTAATTCATTCTAATTTGGGATTGTTGGTGTCCTGACATTTTATCCTACCCGTCAGATTGTCCTACCAGGGTTTACTGCGCATGCGCACATCAATATTGCGTCCTTTTTCTCATGCTGAACAACAATATTTAATGTATCTGCATTACTGTAAGAGTAGGTTTAGGGTTGGGGTAGGTGTAGACTTTAATAAAACACATTCTAATCTGTTGGTTTTCTGTAGCTGTATCCCTTCTAGCTACAACCGCGAATATAACATAATTACTGTATTTGCATTACTGTAAGGGTAGTTTTAGGGTTGAGGTAGGTGTAGACATTAATAAAACAATTTTACAGGTAGCATTTTTCATTGTCGAATTGTACTACCCACTGTTTTAATGGGAGGTAGCAAAATCTGACAGGGTAGCACAAACCGACAGAACAGTTGGAACAAATTGGTGGCCATACACTCTTAAAAATAAAGGTGCTTCAAAAGGTTCTTCAAGCGATGCCATAGAAGAACCATTTTTGGTTCCACAAAGAACCATTCAGTCAAAGGTTCTTTAAAGAACCATCTCTTTCTTATCTTTTTATAACCTGAAGAACATTCTTTCGCCACAAAGAAGCTTTTGTGAAACAGAAAGGTTCTTCAGATGTTAAAGGTTCTTTATGGAACCATTTAGACAAAAAGGTTCTTCTATGGCATCGTGAAGCACCTTTATTTTTAAGAGTGTATTTGATTAATTTGTTCCCTCATTTCAGTTAGATTGCGACCATAGACCGTGGCCATATTGAACTCATTTCTAATTCAGGTACAAATTAAGTAGTTGTGGAAAGATAGTTTCTTTTCCTTTTTTGCTTGCTGATCATTTCCATTTTGGTAAGAACATATGCCATATTATCCCTTAAAGTGAGTGACAATGTACTGCCAAATTCACCCAGACATGTTCTGTAGAAGAAATAGTCATTTAAGGTTTAAAGGTGAGTAGATGAATTATATCTGATGTGAACTAAACCTATAAATATGACCTGTATAAACCTATAGATCTCAGTATAAACACTTACAATGTCGGTAAAGACTCCTGGTCTCATGAGGTTGATCATCTTGGCCACTTGGTAGACCCCCACAGCTCCTTCACTCTCCAGCTGCTGTGACAGTGTGGTGAGAGCACATAACATCCCAGCAGACACTGCACCAAACCTGTCCACATAAATATATGCATATGATCATTTATATATAGTATATCAACTCATTTGACCTCTTGTAATGTGTCGTGTCAGATTGAGAGATTATTCAATCTGAGTTTTTCATCTACTCTTTCCTTTTCTTTTCCAAAAAATCATGCACAATAAGACAAATAGGAACAGTAATGTGCATGAAAAAGAAAAAATATACTGTATATATATATTACAATACTCCAAATTACAAAGTTCTGGTTTCATTTCACATGTATAGATTACTATATGTGACGTTTCTATTTCTACAGATTTCTTTTTATTGATCATCTGGTACAGTCCTTCCGTCTCATTTTTATCTTGTGTTTTTGCTTCTCTCTCTGACAGTAGTGCAACTTTTCCCACCATAAACTCCATATTTAATTCTATAAGAATATAATTCATTACCATTTCTATTGCTTGACACCCTAAGGTGCTGTGATCCAATTAGTCCTAACGAGTATTCCTTAATATCAACTGACATCACTTTGCAACAAAACGACCAACAATGGCCCCTTCATGCTTATTCATTATGTTAACGAGGCCTGCATGCCTCACCTGATAAACATGGCGGATTAATTTAGCTTTTGAAAATATGTAATGTTAATATGGTATCACCCCTAAGAGCTGTCTTAATTGGCATCGTCTTCATTACAGCTCCAGATATGCCAGTCTGTCGAATGCTTCTCCTGCAGAAGCTGTTGACAGAAGCAAAGATCTGCCTCTCCTGTGGAGCTATTTCTGCGCTCACCGTCTCCCTGGTGTTTGCCAGGGAGCTAATTCTGTCTAGAAGGAATCTCAACTCTTTGTAGTCTAAAATGGAACGTCTTTTGTTGCCACTGTGAAAACTGAGATTGAATTGAATCCTCCAATGATTCACTAGAATGAGCTGAACATAAAGGATGGCCAAAAAAGCTGATGAGTCAAGAGGGAGTGTTTGAGAACCTATAAGGCTGAATTTGGCTCAGTTTGCATACTTTCATTAGAGACAAAAAGTATGTATTGGCAAAGTATTCACGCCTCAAGTCACAAAACATGAAAACATGTTGTATTGTTCCAGTTCTGACGTGCTACATACTAAATCAGATGCTTGATATATGCAATTGAACAAGTGTTTCTATATAAACCAGAGGCGGTTTTCACTAAATGCTGAGAATCAACAGGCTTTCTAAGCCAAAATTGTACATTTTTAATAAAAGGTCATTACTCACTCATCATGCACTATAGTGGGTCCATCTCTGGTCATGGCCTCTTCTTTAATGACATTGATGAGCTCAAAGGTGCTGCTAATGGGAGCATCAGGGTTTGGCCATTTTGGGCACTGAAAATGACGAACTTCTAAAACATAATCATCCTAAAAAGTAAAAGAAACAAGAGATAGATTTTTTTTCTATAGTTAAAAAAATATATAAATATCATTACATTACTATAATATTATTATATTATATAAACTTTTATATAAACTACATATAAAACTATTTATGTATATACTGTGCTGTACAAAAATTTAGGGCCAGTAAGATTGTTTTTAGCACTTTTATTCAGCAACAATGCATTGAATTGGCAGCAAAGACATTTATAATGTTACAAAGTATTTCTATTCAAATGAATGCTGTGTTTAACTTTCCATTCATTAAAGAATCCTGAAAAAAATGTATCACGGTTTTCACAAAAATATTAAATATTAAAATGAACAATAATAATTTCTGAAGGATCATGTGATTTTAAATTCTAATAACAGTTCACAATTATAATACTGTATTTACCGTACTGTTCAGCTGTTTTTTATGTAATAAACAGTCTTGGTGAGCATAAGAGACTCTTTTAAAAACACAAAAAAATCTTACCAACACTTTTGAACGTTACCCAAACTTTTGAAAAGTATTGTATAAATATATTATATATAATATCATCTCTTTCTTGCTTCCTTTTATTTGATCCTTTCGCTCTATATAATTATATTTATAAAATAATATTTATAATAAATATTGTATATTTGAGTACAATATCTTTAAAAATTATATAAGATAATATTAAATGAAATGTATATAATTAATTGTATATCATATCTTGTTTAACTCCAAAAGTTTACACTCCAAAATACAGACATTTGTGGCCTCAGGGAATATTATAAATGATATAATAATATATGCAACCATATTCGATGAAATACATATAAATAATTATATATTATATACAGTTTGAATCTAAATCTTTCCCTCCAAAGACACAGACCTGTGTGGCCTCCAGGATGAAGTCATGAATGATGATTTGCTCCTCATTGGAGAGGCAGAGTCTGTCTTTACTGATAAGGGTGACTGTAAATGCCTCACAGTTCATGGCTTCCTCTCGACTCGGCCAATACACAAACTCATCCTCCGCCTGCGGCAACAAACGTGAGTGAGCATCAACGCTGACTAATTAAAGACTTTTAGAAAGACCGGTGCTCTTACAACCGATTCCCATAGTTCCCTGCCCACAATAACAAGATATCGGCTGACCTTGAGGAGCACAGCCTATAACATTAACTTGAGTTTCCCTCCTTACACTCTTAAAAATAAAGGTGCTTCAAAAGGTTCTTCAAGTGATGCCATAGAAGAACCATTTTTGGTTCCACAAAGAACCATTCAGTCAAAGGTTCTTTAAAGAAGCATCTCTTTCTTACCTTTTTGTAATCTAAAGAGAAACCTTCTTTCACCACAAAGAAGCTTTTGTGAAACAGAAAGGTTCTTCAGATGTTCGAGGTTCTTTATGGAACCATTTAGACAAAAAGGTTCTTCTATGGCATCGTGAAGCACCTTTATTTTTAAGAGTGTAGAGGCAGCACATCACTCAAGACAACCAGGAACTTTGCAGATGGTCTTGAATACCCACCAGGCCCTGGTTGTCTGGTAACATGACGATGATTTGAGCGTTATGGTCCCAGATCATCCTCCAGAAATCTTTAGTGGTGTGAGGCAAGGGATGCTGGGTAATGATGAACTCATTGCTCCGGTAGTAGCCCTAGTAGTCGCACGGAAACGTTCAATAAACAAAAGGAGCAATCAGTTATTCTTGGCTTTCGGTATACAACAGGTAGCATATCAATTTACCTTTCATTTATAGTTAGTTAATTCCAGTTACTTAAATAATATCCTTAGTAGAAGTTAAAAAGGCAAAATGACAATGTGAAGTTGACTGTTTCTCGTTGACCTGCCATCTTTGAACCATAAATAAAACCCTTTATGTGTACTATTTTGTGCACATAAAAAACCAACATTACAGCAAATGTTCACTCTTATGACCATAAAACCGAAGTTTTCCCCAGAACTATGTGTGCTAAAGTAGTTGTAGTGGGGGTGTTGGGTACTCACCATTATATAAGATGCATTAATGTAATCAGTGCCTTTCATCCCAGGCAATGGTGCGAGACCAACACGTGCTCTTTCCGCTGAGAGGGACAAAAACAGCCAATCAGGATGCAGAATAAGAGAGCAGGTCAGTGATGTGATTTCATTAGCTCAAACAAGCTGCAAGCACAATTTTGAAAGCTGTGTTGCAGTTTGGATACTAGAATGTCAGGCAAGAAGAATTGTCAAAGAAATCCAAGGTATTTGAAAAAGATAAAAAAAATGAGTGACCACATTACATCAGTATGCCACAGTAAACCATAATTACTCAACAAATATACAATAAAAAAATCAGATGTGCTATTTTATTTCAATTAGGTTATGTTACTCACATGGGACAACAGAAGAGTTGCGGTTCTTCTCCTTGTTGCATTCTTTCTGAGCACTGAAGCACTCCACAAATCTTGCATTGCACTGAGTCACCAACTGAACATAAATAGAACTAATTACTTTTTCTTTATTTCAAAGTAGCATGAAACATCACATGAGACAACTTCAACATTTCGAATTTAACAGCAAGAAAATGTGTCTCATTGCAGTCTACTAAACTGCAGTCAGAATGTCAGGGCTCAACAAAACAAAACACAAAGCAAAACAAAACAAAGCAAAGCAAAGCAAAGCAAAGCAAAGCAAAGCAAAGCAAAGCAAAGCAAAACAAAACAAAACAAAAAACTAAACAAAGCAAAGCAAAGCAAAGCATAGCAAAGCAAAACAAAACAAAACAACAAAACAAAGCATAGCAAAGCAAAACAAAACAAAACAACAAAACAAAGCAAAGCAAAGCAAAACAAAACAAAACAAAACAAAACAAAGCAAAGCAAAGCAAAGCAAAGCAAAGCAAAGCAAAGCAAAACAAAACAAAACAACAAAACAAAGCAAAGCAAAGCAAAGCAAAACAAAACAAAACAAAAAAACAAAACAAAGCAAAGCAAAGCAAAACTAAAAAAACAAAACAAAGAACAACCAATTGACGTTTATATATAAAAGTCATTAAGTACTACAAATGCAACCTGGAAATTTAAGAGGAAGGAAATATGTCCTGCAGTTGTAGCCTACCAAATAAAATGTAATGTTGATTTACATTCAGGTGTTGAATCCGAACCAAAAGGAACCATAAAATGTGAGAATTTCAGGCTCAATAAAATATTTTATAAACTCGTGATACTCAAGCAAGCCACATATCACACATTTTACCCGCACAGAACCTGTCAAGCTTCGGTTGTAAGTCACAGTGTCCTAACCGGGTATAAAATGATAAAGCAACAAGCGATAAAAGTGAGCCAATTTGTGGTGCAAAATTCTTCTCCACATAAAAATTCTCTTCTGATATGCAGAGAATGTGTCATGCATTGCAATAAGTGCTGACAGACAAACTGCTTGTCCAAATGACTTTGCAGAAGGAAAGAGATAGTCCCCACCTTGAACTGCTTTTCCAGTCGTGTTTTGCCCCCTGGGCCCGGCGTCAGGATGTTGTTGACGTAACTGTGCAGCTGACTGGAGGGCACCTCTGTTTCCTTCCCAAGAATGGCTTCCATCAAGGCATCGTGGATGAAGATATACTGCTCCTAAACACACAGAGACAGACAAACAGAAAGGTAAAGAGACATCCTAGATGACCCCAATAAACAGGACAGATTTAGACTGGGGGCTCACCTCCGTTTGGACCAGGTAGTTTCTCTGAGTTCGTATATGTTTGAGGAAACCCAGCACATTGACTGAACCTTTATCCTTCAGCTGCTGCAGCATGCTGTCAATCACAATGTAAGTTCCTGTCCTGCCCACGCCAGCACTGAAGAAGACACATTATTAACATATAAAACAGTTTGTTTATTGCTCTCCTTAGCCATCCAATCAGCCAGTTTAAGTGTGTGTGTGTGTGTTTTACCTGCAGTGTACAAGCATGGGGCCCATCTCTGGAGTCTGTGCGGCAGAGGACTTCCTGACGAAGGTGAGCACGGGTAACGTGTATTCAGGGACGCCCATATCCGGCCACTGAGTGTAGTGATACTGCAGAACTGTTCTTTCACTCTGACGGCCCTTAGTGTTACCCTTCTGACCCTGCAAACACACACACACACACACACACACACACACACAAACAGATGAAAGTTTTACAACTACGTATGACCCTTCGACATAAAAGAACAAAGAACAACATAGACTGTTTTATAAATTAAGCCAGAACAAGACCCGACACAAAACAGCAAAGCTAAACAACAAAGCGAAAACGAAATGAAACAAAACAAAACAAAACAAAAAACATAAAACACAAAACACAAAACACAAAACACAAAACACAAAACACAAAACAAAACAAAAAACTACAGGGACTGGCTTTCTTAACCCTGGCTTCATTCTAAATGGACAATGCATTGCATATTTACTGAGCCGTAATATATTTGCATTATTTAACCGGCTATGTATTATTATTTTTTACTAGTGATAATAGTCCACAAGTCACTTTGAAGACTTTTGTTTTACTATATTTGAGGATATTTTCAGAAACCCTGGCCCTGACAAGTAGAGCGAAACAAGGATGTTTTGTTTTTTTTCTGAAAAAAGTACACACTGATATATGCAATTGTATCTCATGGTAAAGAAACACAAAAACACATGATCAATCCCCTTATCTTCACATAACCCTCACTTTGCATTTAAACTCGCAGCAAAGATGTGTGATAATGCTGTACAGAAGCATGTCAGCTTTCTATTTTATTTATTTATTTTATTTTACCAAACATTAATTTTTCATTGCTGTAAAAAAGTGGCACCTAAACTGATATCTAAGTGGCTGCTATAAAAAAGTCCCTTATTTCTTTGCTGCCAGTGGCCTTGGTGTGGCTCTATGTATTATGAAAGAGATTTACGGAGAGAGCCGATCACTCTCACTGATGCTGTGAAGGCCAGGACCTTGCATAAGCTCCTTAAAGATTTTTCCTCTGGCCAAACCCTCCACAATCCTTCTCACAGGTGAAGGAAAGCAGGTCAAATCATGTGCAATTACTGTCTGGATCATTCCGTGAACGATGTGCCTTTTCCAGTTTGATGAGGTGTGTAATAAATGCTTATAAAACAGTCTATCTGAATTAAAAACAAACAATGTGTATGTGTTAATAAATGGCATTGTGTCATCTCAAGATAAATGTATTTTAATATCTGTTGAGAACTCAGAAACACCTCATGAAGGTAAAACAAACCAACAGGATTGACAGCGCAATCCAACATACATTTAACAAACAACTTGTGTTCAAACTCGTGAAACTGTAAAGTGCTTCTTATATAGTGAATTGTGTGCTGATATTTCTGCAAAGGATCTTGTTTACCATACAAAAGCAGAGTAGCAGGGTTTTTCAGATCTACTCGATTGACAAATATAACAAAACATAAGATAAGTGAAGGGATTTAATAATACAGTGTCAACTAATACCTACATATACTAAAATCTGAAAACATACAGAAAAACGGTGAACATGCTAGTTTTTATTTCCATATACTTCATTTTTATTCAATTATGTATTTGTTAATATAGCAAGGAGAGGATCAAAAAAATACAAAGCTAATGATTAAAAAAAAATAATAAATCAGTTAACTCCATTTCTGTTAATGTTTCGAAAAATGTCTAAATTAAATAAAAGCTGGCTTAAGCTATTCATCGCTAAAGTCATTTCTAATACATAACAAGTATATATTTTATTGTGTGCTTTTTCATTTAAGCTGGTTAGTTGTTTGGTTGGCATTGTACCACCATGTCAGCTTTCTTGGCTATTTAACAAGTTGAAACCATATAAAAGAGCAACTTTAAATAACATCTATATCATGTTTTCAAAGTTTGCGTTCGATAAACACTCGAAAATGGATTGTTTGCAGAGTGATATTTTCTAAGAAAACTTAAACCAGCACAATTTAATAAAAAATGACTTTTTTCCCCATTAGGGATCATTTTATACAGTTTGTTGTTGGTACATCCATCCCATTCATTTTGCCATTTGTTGATGATTTTGGCTTAATTCAGCAGCAGTAGAGGAGGAGGAGTCTAAGGGGAGAAATAAAAAAGGTGTTTACCTTCCTTACTTTGGTGTTTCTGATAGTGAAGATGCGGAGTGTGTAGCACGCCATTACTTTGGTTCTCTTCAGAGTCACCACAATATTACCGTATTCCTCACTATTCTCTGTCGGCCAGTACTGGTCGCATTTTCTCTGTGAGACGCACACAGAAAGTGAACAAAAGAGGCCATATAAAACAAATGATTATTTTATGATTCTGAAACTGTAATGGTTGTGACATTATAACTCACTCTGCCTTTCTCCACCAGGTTAGTGATCATGACTATAATGCAGGTGTTTTGTTCCCACACCATCCGCCAGAAGTCCTCGAATGTGGACTTGAGGGGACCCTGAGCTGCAATGTAGGCCTTGGGTTTATTGTAGCCCTGTAGAGGAGAAAGATCGAGAAATGAAATCACACTCAGTCAAGTCATTATGTATATGGAAGCCTCACATCAGTGTGTTCTGCACACATCACTCACATCCACATAGTTGGCATTGATGTAGTCACTGTGTTTAGAGTCTTTTCCTGCCAGAGGCCTGAGCTTCACTCGACTGTGGTCATCTGAAGGAAAAAACAAACAAATAAGAGATTCATGTTTGATGTCTGACCTACAGTTGGATACAAAAGTCCGAGACCACAGTGACAATCTAGAACTCCGAACTAAAGTAAAAAGGCTAATATAAAGATTTTGAAACAATATGGAAACATCCTGACAGAATATTGCCTTCACTGAAATGCAAGATGCTCTTTGTAAAAAAAATTTTCAAGTCATGTTAGATAACAAGATCATCAGGTTTTGAACAAACTCAAGTGCTGCTGTAAAATGAAAGCAACAAACCGAATTCTGTAAATTTACACTAAAAAGTAATATTGTGAAATATTATTAAGTATTATTCAAAATACTTGTTTCATGTTTAAAAATGTAATTCATTCCTGTGCTGATTTTTTACATTTGTTAAATATCTTTATATTCCTGCCGAATTGTCACATGAACCTTTAGAAATCATTCGAATATGTTGATTTGCAGCTCAAGAAACATTTTTTAATATAATAAATGATGACACCAGTTGTGCTTCTATAATGGATTCTTTGATGAATAGAAAGTTCAAAAGAACAGCATTTGAATTCGAAATCTTCTGTAACATTAATAATGCCTCTACTGTCACTTTTAATCAATTGAATGCATCCTTAATGAATAAAAGGATGAATTTCGTCCAAACAAAAAAGTATTAACTTTAGAACAATAGTGTACGTAAATTGAACATGAACAGAAAATTGAACAAGAACAGAAAATTGAACATGAACAGAATTGAAATTGATATGCTGATAATATAATTAGTATTTAAAGGGGTCATATGATGCAATTTCAAGTTTTAAAATGCTAAATTACAAAAACAGAAGCATTTTCGCAAGTGGTCTCAGACTTTTGGATCTCTGTGCCTTTTATAAAGAGAGACTCACAGGCTATGATGTTGATGTATCTGTTTTTGTGCTTGTTGTCAGGGTGATTGGAGTGTTCTGATGTGATCTTCATATCTGCTGTGCAGCGCTGCACTTCCTATAACACACACACACACACACACACACAGATGAGACATTGTGAATTTCATTTTCATTCTGTATCAATAAAAAAAACTCATTTGCATACAGATAATAAATACAGAAAATAAAGACACTTTTTTGTATTAATACTGTTTTGCTTAATTGTAATTTAGTTTAATATTTTCTTATCTAATACAATGATATTCATACATTTTACATGTGACACAGTTTTATAGACAACTGCTGTGCATTAACATGAACACTGTTTTTAGTTTGCATATAAGCATGCACAGCAGGTTCAGCAAAGCTAACATCCTGAGGCTGTTAACAGATCGCTCAATAAACACACGAGCACTTGACACACTCTATTAACACCATGCAACAAAAATGTTGAGATGTTTAAGTGATGTACCGGAACATAAGGATTGGCTGTGTGTGCATTAGTTGGTTGTGTGTTTGCACTGCATTTGAAGAGTGTGTGGACAAGCTTGTTTAAAACCACAAGACATTTGAAAATCTGCCAGGGGCTGTTTTCAGTAAGTCTCTCATCCCCACACACGCACCTGTATGCTACCAGCACCTGAACTAACCTCACTCGCATTCTGAGAAGACTGAAGAGCTGATACTTCACAGAACATCACAGGGTAAGTCAACATTTATGGGAGGACAGTCCACGACTGTCAATTCTATTCATGTGTGACCTGTGATATCGTATTTGATGCTGGTCATATTACATGAACACTTGTGAAGGGTTTTTCATGAAAAACCAATTTAGTGACCCATTTGATTTTCTTGCGTTAAGAAAACAAGTCGCACTGGGAATTGATTGGATGATGAAAAGTGTGCTTTTTATGTGAATGCAACTTCGCAGTTGATTGTGAAAAGGGGGACAACAATGAAATGAATTCATATTAAGAAACCAAGATGATGAGCAGGGCAAGCATCATAACTAAAGAGAACATGACGTTAACCAAGAAGCTTTTGTTTACTGACCAAACGGAGAGAAGCCTGTTCCTGTAAAACTCTACAGTTCAGTGCTAAGAGTGAATGTAATGTTATCTTGTATATACATTTATATTCAATTTTTGCTGCCTATATTTAAAATGTCATATAGATTGTGTTAAAACCATTGTTATTTGGAATAATTTAATTTAGCGTCTGGTGCTGAAGAGAAGTAAAATCTGGGTTATTGTGATACAGCGATATAGACATTCTCTAAGAAATTCTTAAGATATTAATGGACAAATTAAATCTCACATATTCATTTAAACCTACATATAATGGTTGATCATGTGCTCTGCTTTTAAATTTTTTTTTATTAAACAATAGACAAAAACGACATGGTTTGTTTAGTATTGATTTCTGACGTCCATCCATTCATCTTCCATACCGCTTAATATTTTTATAATCTATTTGGACTCTCTTTCTGACGGCACACTTTCTTTACTGCAGAGGACCCACTGGTGAGCAAGTGATGCAATGCTACATTTCTCTAAATTTTCAGCAAATGTTAATTTTGGGGTCAAGTACTCCTTTAAAAAAGTCTTATAAGAAAAAAAAGTAAATGAGCCTGTTCTCCGCTACTCTTCTCAGACTCTGATCTGTCTTGCTCTCTGGTATTCTCCATTCACTCTTCTCTCATTTTCAGCTGAATGCCAAACTTCCCCAAGTGTCCTCTTCTTTTTTTCCCTTTGAGTCGCTTTTCTTCCCCCCCTACAAAACTCCTACCTGGGGCGTACATAATCCCTGTGCCTGTCCAGGCCTAGCCAATACCCCTCCTCTTCTCCCTGGCTCCCATGATCGCTGCCACCCCAGCCACTGCTTTTTTCGGCCCAGGCTGCACAAAGCCACTTGTCAGGGGCCTGGTGGGTTCCGTCCAAAAGGGGTTTGGCTTGGTTGTCTTCCCTTTTTTCTGTGCTAAAGTAGTGGAGGTGAGAGGGAAGAGCTAGGAACTACAGAGGAATCCATTGAGGAGAAGCAGCACCAGAAACCCCCTTTGCAACCACTTCCCAATGTCCATCAAGACACACACACTTTTAGAGGCACTTCCCTGCGTCAATCAAGCAACCATGGAACAAAGAGGCCAAGGGAGGCCCTCAGAGGAACCTTAGTGACCCCCACACCTCCCCTTTCATGCAATAAAATGGAAATTAATTATTAAAAATCATACAATGTGATTTTCTGGATTTTTTTTTTGATTCAGTCTCTCACAGTTGAGGTGTACCTACGATGAAAATTACAGATCTCTCCATTCTTTGTAAGTGGGATAACACTTCAGCAGTGTATCAAATACTTATTTGCCCCACTGTATATATATATATATATATGTATATACACACACACACACACACACGCACACGCACACGCACACACACACACATATATATATATACATACATACATACATACATATATATATATGTGACCCTAGACCACAAAAGCAGTCTTAAGTCGCTGGGGTATATTTGTAGCAATAGCCAAAAATACATACATTGTATGGGTCAAAATTATTGATTTTGTTTAATGCCAAAAATCATTAGTACATTAAGTAAAGATCCTGTTCCATAAAGATATTTTATGTTTTAATTTTGTAAATTTCCTACTGTAAATATGTCAAAACTTAATTTTTGATTAGTAATATGCATTGCTAAGAACTTCATTTGAACAACTTTAAAGATGATTTTCTCAATATTTAGATTTTTTTGCTCCCTCAGATTCCAGATTTTCAAATAGTTGTATCTCGGCCAAATATTGTCCTATCCTAACAAACCATACATCAATTGAGAGCTTATTAATTCAACTTTGATATGGTGTATAAATCTCAATTAAAAGAAATTGACCCTTATGACTGGTTTTGTGGTCCAGGGTCATATATATATATATAGAAAGAAATGTAAGACTGTCCCAAGCGAATTGACCAGAAATGAGCAGCTGGCTATTAGTAATGAATAAGTATTTATGAATTTTTATGAAGGATTTTTTTTTTACATACCATAACATGCGGTCACATATTAATTTAATTTGAGAGAAAATGAGTCTTTGAGTGGTTTTCATTTTCATTGTTTTTATTTTCAAGATTTTTTAAATGTTATTTATTTGTAACAAGATGCTTCATGTTGTTGCATTTATCAACAATGGCTTGAAAAACAATCTGAACAAAAAACAAATTGGAATTAGCAGGGCCACAGATTTACGTAATATCAGTACAATTTATGCATAAAATACAATAAAGAAGAGATTTTACAAATACAAAAATGTAAATAATTTCTGTGGTATTTTTGCTCCATAAAATCTCAGATTTTGACCTTTGTTCATTTTTTTGGAGGGCAATAAATAAATAAGCTAGCTAGCTGGTAAAATCTAAATAAAGTTCAATAAAAGGAGGTAAAAGTTAATATTGTTTTGTGGTCCCTCCTTTCCGCTTGATAACAGCTCGAGAATCGGAGAAAAAAAAATGGTGTAATGTTGGCACAGCCAAAGGTCTGGAACATTTCTGAATCCTGATCCACAGAGGACACATAAAACCCAGCATGTGTGTGCGTGCACATGCAGCTCTGATCTGCAGGTGATCATCAGGGGCTGAACATCTCAGATCATTCACTGACATTCACCTGGGCCACTGACAGCACAAGCAGACGCTGTGGCCCAAGACTCAATAGATAACTAATTACTAGTCATCCTCGTACAAACTGTGGTCACATTAGTCTGACAGAATGTTGTTGTGGTTTTCTGGCTTCTGCGCCGCACTAACACTCACACATCAGAGAGAGTCCCAAAAAACTCGGTGTGAAAAAAGATGCCAATGTTCAGATGGCCTAATTCATTTTCACTCATGCTGAGTTCAACTGGCTTGTCCTGTACGGCCACCTGCCAGAAATAACAAACATCCACGGAGGGATCCCGGCCCAGCTGTTCCCAGACAGACACCAGAACCTGTCAACAGAACCACTGCAGCGAGGCCGGGGGAGCCACATGAGACGGGACCTGTGTTTACAAAAGTCTGAGGGAGTTCGCCGAGAGGGAAGAATTATAGAGACGGGATACGTCTGTGAAGTGTGTGTGTGAAGATCTTACCTCAAACCCTTCTGAGAAGCCGTGTTGGTTGTTGGAGTAGAGTTCTGATACATGCTTGATGAACAGTTTAACAGGGATGGCCTCCATATCATCTGAAACGGGGGGAAAAAAAACTTTTGTTGTCTTATAGTGAGAAAACCATACAACCGGAAATATCACAGAGAAGAGCACTGTAGACCCTCATTGACTGCATGTCATGGATAGTAAGCCTCTTAAAAATATTCAGTATGTTGACTTTCAAATATTTCGATCTTTAATTTTGGATTAAAAAATCTTATAATTAAATGCAGTTATTACTATAATTAATATTACTGTTTGTAATTATTTCACCATTGATTAAACATTCAAAACTGCACCTTACGTCAGCAAAAGTATTTGGAAGTGTTTCCAGTGCTGGTACAGTGATCCATCTTAACAGTAGCCACTGTGCTTTGATTGGTTGACCAGCTGATTAGATAATCAACAGTTCAGTGTGTCGACTGTGACGAGTCTAAGAGGATGAACGAAGGATCAAGGTTCAACTTCAGTCATGGTGAACAAAAAGACTGGCCAGATTCACACTCTCCAACTGACAGACACACAATAAGCTGCAACACAAAACACAAAACACACACACACACACGTCCATAGCGCTATAAAATTAGGTTTTTTAAAATCAAGACAGAAATAAGCATGTGCTCGTCTTATTTAATTTGGGTATAACAAACTAACAACTAAAATATAGAATTATAATGAACATATAATTAAAATGTAATAAGTATAATTTCTAAAAGTGGTTACTAATTACTAATTATTTCTTCAATCATTTATTAATTTTATTACTGTAATATAATATAATATTTTGCTGCATTTATTTAATAAAAAATACTGTAAAAACAATAATAATGTGAAATATTATTAGAATTATTAAAATAACTGACTTCTATTTTTATTTATTTTTAAAATGTAATTTATTCCTGCGATCATTACTCCAGTCTTCAGTGTCACGTGATCCTTCAGAAATAATTCTAATATGCTGATGGTGCTCAGGAAACATTTCTTATTACTATCTTAACTTGATCTTATCTTAACTATCTTTAATATTTTTATTTTTTTTTGTGTGTGGAAAATGTAATGCATTTCTTCCAGGATTCTTTTATGAAAGTTCAAAAGAACAGCATTTATTTGAAATATACATCTTTTGTAACATTATAAATATTTCTACTGTCACTTTTTATCAATTTAACACATCCAAAATAAAAGTATTCATTTCTACAAAAAAAAAAACATTTTTTGAAGAAAAGGCGATCCGCGCACCTTCTCTCTTTATCCTAAAATGCCTAAAACTGAATACAGCTAACAAACCCATGGATGCCAGAAACTAACTGGGAAATTCAGCCAGAAATTGAAGGCCCTATTTAGCAGGAAAGCATCCATGGTTGAAAGGACAGTGAACTCAAAGCGCCATATGAGCCGGAGCCAGCAAAGAGAGAGGCTGCTGCCCACACTAAATGGATCTTTGCAAATACCGAGGCCAGCCCTCGCCAAGCTGGAACACAGATGCCCAAATTGGATTGAGGGCACCGTGCCACCATTATTGTGAGCCGTGCCACAGTGTAACAATGAGAATTGGTTCCAATGAAGTACTTATGGGAAAGCCTGAGCGAATCAATGGCTCTTGTTGCATTAAGATCTGGGTTCCACTACACTGACTAACCCGGACCTGACACCTTCAGACCCTGAAAATCACACACTGTCCACTTCTGTTCCACTACGCTCTCCGCTAATGATTTTTCCCAAACACAAATAAAGGCAATGAGCTAAAGTGAGAAACAGGCCAGTCAGACGAAGCCATTTTCTTGGCTCCAACCTTAATGGCTAATGTGTATGTGTGTAAAAGTGTGTGTGCACATGCAGACGGTCCAGATAAACAGCACTTGTCTTCTCTGATAACCGTGAAGACCCTAAACAAACTTGACAAGACCACGTTTCCTCAAACAGCTACTGTGTCTATATTCAACAAACTCTTCGGTGTAGCGCACACTCATCAAATCCAGTTTACAGTAAACATGACATGGCCAGCCATTCCAGAAAATCATCTTATTAAAAACACAGGAACACCATTCCAAAAAAGCACTGGTTGTTAGGTCTTTGCTTGAGTGTTCTGAGTGGCTGCTGTGGCATTTCTAGGGTGTCGTGAGTAGTTGCAGGTTGTTGTGAGGACATTTCTATGTAGATGCCAGGGCACTGGTAGCCCGGTAGTTGTTCAGGTGATTTGGGTGATGGTTAGGACGTTGTTAGGATGTTTACAGGGTGTTGCTAGCCAGGTAGTTGCTTGGGTGTTAGGACAATGTTAGGTGGTTTCCAGGGTGTTGCTAGTCAGATAGTTGCCTGGTTGTCATGGGTGGTTGTTAGGATATTGTTAGGTGGTTGCCAGGGCATTGCTAGAATGTTGCTAAGTGGTTGTGCTAGGGGGTCGTGGGTAGTTGCAGGTCGTTGCAGGTCATTGCAGGATATTTCTAGGTGTTTGGGGGGGTTGCTAGCCAGGTAGTTGCTTGGGTATTAGGACACTGTTAGGTGGTTTCCAGGGTGTTGCTAGTCAGATAGTTGCCTGGTTGTCGTGGGTGGTTGTTAGGATATTGTTAGGTGGTTGCCAGGGCATTGCTAGAATGTTGCTAAGTGGTTGTGCTAGGGGGTCGTGGGTAGTTGCAGGTCGTTGCAGGATATTTCTAGGTGTTTGCTAGCCAGGCAGTTGCTTGGGTGTTGTTGGGGTGTTGTGGATGGTTGCTAGGTCTCTGCTTTGTGGTTGCTAGGATGTTGTGGGAAGTTGCAGGTGGTTGTCAGGACACTGATATATGGCTTCCAGGATGTTGCTAGCCAGGTAGTTTCTTAGATATTGTTTGTGGTTGTCAGGGCATTGCTAGGTTATTGCTAGGGCATTAACAGAGTGTTGTGGTTGGTTGCCAAAGTACTAATGTGGTATTGAGGATGTGGTTGCTGGAGTGTTCAAAATGGTTTGCAAGGATATTGTTGTGTATTTGCTTGGGCATTGCTAGAGTGCTGTGGGTAGCTGCTGGTGTTTGTCAGGGCATTAATAGGGTGTTGTGGGGGGGCCAACAAGGTTTTATGGGGTGTTGTGGATGACTTGTTTGGAAGTTGCTGGAATAATATGAGTAGTTGCTAGGGTGTAGTGGGTGGTAGGCAGGACATTACTAGGTTGTTTCTAGAGCTTTGCTAGCAAACTAGTTGCTCAGATGTTGACGGTGTGTGCTAGGTGGTTTCTGGGGTGTTGTTGGTGGTTATTATTAGGCTTGAAGATGGAGTGGAATGCTGAAAAAGAAGTTCACCCTGGCCTTTTGCAAGCACCACACACACACACAAAATAAAAAAAAAATTATGAAATCAATCAAAAGGTGGCGCTACACCCTGTGCGTCGTGCTTGTGAACACAGCTGTTTTTCAGAAGCTGAAAACTTGATTGGAGCCTCTTCATGTCAAAATCAATGCAGCAATGGATTTTTAGATTCTACACTAATTGCACAGAGTAACAGTCTATAGAGCGCACAGAGTTAGTCAATTCCACACAAACACATGCTGAGACGACAGCCACAGCTCTGTTCAGTCTTGGCACTGTTAAAAACCTTATGTAATCCAACTATTTACCCATAATTCAAGGTAAGCAAGAAAGACATGCATATAATGTTTTGTATCACTTTATCGACACTTGATCATATCAAAGCACCTGTTATCTATGACTTCTTCCACACCTGACACTGGATCAGAGTGGAGTGTGTCTTTAGGTCAAATGGAAGTGTTTCACTAATCTGAAATCTGTTAGAAAATGCCAACCTGGGATGGGGATGACCGGGATGCTCTCATTGGGCACCACTCTGGGCGAATTACTGTCCTCGACGTAGAAATGAGCCGTTTGGAAACACCTCCTGCGGAAGAGCGACAAAGAGAGACAGTCAAGTGACGTAATAACCGTTCAGCACTGCTTTAAAGTTTCCATGAGGTATGGTTTAGGTAAAAATCCCCACCAGAGTAAACACACATGCCGTTGGGTACATATGACTCCATTCAAAGAGCAAATCAAACACTCCAAACAGAGATTACAGCCTTACACTTCAAACACTCTGTAGAGCATCAATACACTTGAAAAAAAAGGAAAAATGTGTTTACAAACCTGTATGATTTTCTTCTGTGTAATACATATAAAGCAAACTGTCCAAACCGTTCTCTTTTATTCATACTTTAATGGGGCCTTTGTCCATTTTTGCCATTCCCTAGTCCTCATCCTCTTTTGTAGAGAAAGAACAACTTGAACATTCTGCTGAACTTCTCCTTTTGAGTTCCACATAAGAAAGTATAAGTGAATGATAAGAGTGTTTTAATTTTTAGATGAACTATTCCTCATATTTAGATACACATATTTAAAGTCACAGTTATTGTTTTTAAACACAGATATTGATTTATTAAATTAATTATAAATACTACAGACTAACCCAAACTCTACATGTGAATAAACCATATAACATTTTTAGAAAAATCTAAATTATAATTAAGTTTTTATTTAAAATTATAATTATTAATATAAGTAATACTTTTAATAATCATTTCACATTTATCAATTCTTCAATAATTATTATTTTCATAATTGTTTTTTACTCCTGTAATCCACGTGGAACATTTTCTACCTGTGTATTTTCTAACGAAAAGGTCTATCAGCAGTCTGTATGAAGTCCATTTAAAACACAACACATCAAATTACAAGGTAAACAAACTCCTTCAAAGAAACCCAGACTGTCAGGATGAATTATTGACTGTTGTTTCCAGTTTGAGAGCTGTAAACTGGTTTTACCTCTTTCTTTCACTTTGCAAGAGAAGCGATAAGCAGGTAAGAAACTAAATCCATATCCAGTAAAAAGAAACAAACAGAAAGAGAAAGACAGCAAGAGATTAAAAGGTTGTTCTAAAGTTACAAAAACTCGAAGTTTTGGATGTCAACCAAATAAGCCAGTGGGAGTCTTGTCTGTCCTACCTGTACTTGATGCACAGCAGAGAACATAAGCTGTTCATCCCTGCAAAGAACGAGGGATTTTAGGAGAGGTGAGTGACTGTAGGCTCTGCATGCTGCTGCTGAGCAAACAGAGCAGTGAGCGAGCAATGAGAGAGAGAGCGAGAGAGAGAGAGAGGGGGGGTGGAGAGAGGGCTGGTCCTGATGTATTACATGGACAGGGCTTTACACAAGTGCTAGAGCTGCTTGGGTCAGACATGAACAGTTCACTGATCCCAGATCAGTCCATAACTGATCTGATAAACCACAGACACCTGCTGCCTTTCCCTCTGGACACACACACACACACACACACACACACACACACACACAGGTTTGTTTTTATGGTTTACGGGGACTCTCCATAGGCGTAATGGTTTTTATACTGTACAAACCGTATTTTCTATTGTCCTACACCAACCCTACCCCTAAACCTACCCCTCACAGGAGACTTTCTGCATTTTTAGATTTTCAAAAAAACTCATTCTGAATTATTTATAAGCCTTTTGAATTACGGGGACACCCCGTAATTTTTAACTCCTCTTTCTGTCCAAGAGAATGAAGAATGCCAAAAAAACATACAGAAACAAACTGTCAAAATAGAGTAAGCAAGTATTAAAGTTGGACTAAATTTCTGTAATTGACTTGAATTTGTCAATTTGTGAAATTCTGGTGCTCAAACTACAAAAAAAAACAAAAACACATTACGCACTATAGTTAAAGTCTTCTGAAGCCTGTGTGATGCAGTACTATTTTAGTTTATTTATTATTATTTATTTATTTACTATTAATATCTAATTACTATTTAGGTTTAATTTTCTTTTATTTCAGTTTTAGTTGTTTTATTTTATTTTTTAAATTTCCAGTTAATAATTTTAGTCTTCTGAAGCCTGTCAGTTGCAGTACTATTTTTGTATTATTTATTTATTTATTTACTATTAATATCTAATTACTATTTAGGTTTAATTTTCTTTTATTTCAGTTTTAGTTGTTTTATTTTATTTTTTTAAGTTCCAGTTAATCATTTTAGTCCTCAACTTAAGCTTATTTCAGTTAGTTGACAACATTTCTAATGGCCATTTAGTTTTTCATCTGATATTTATATTTGATTTCAGCTTTGAAGTCAATTAACACAAATGTTTTTAATCATTTTAGTCAATGATAATTTTAAATTTCCAGTTAATAATTTTAGTCTTCTGAAGCCTGTGTGATGCAGTACTATTTTAGTTTATTTATTATTATTTATTTATTTACTATTAATATCTAATTACTGTTTAGGTTTAATTTTCTTTTATTTCAGTTTTAGTTGTTTTATTTTATTTTTTTAAGTTCCAGTTAATCATTTTAGTGCTCAACTTAAGCTTATTTCAGTTAGTTGACAACATTTCTAATGGCCATTTAGTTTTTCATCTGATATTTATATTTGATTTCAGCTTTGAAGTCAATTAACACAAATGTTTTTAATAATTTTAGTCAATGATAATAAACCTGGTATGATGAACAGAGCAATATTTGATATATTTACAGGAAATCCTACCCTTTGTTGTAGATATCAAATCTCTTGCTATTTAAATGCTATTTAAATTTAGCGTGTTGCGACTGGTTACATTTGAATATGAAAACATGAATGAGATTTGAATGGCATTAGGGAAGAATTTGACAGAATAACAGCCTGCTCCTCACAGAAACCTATTGTATGGCTTCACAAGACTTACGGATTTTATTTATGGAACTTTATGATGCTTTTAGCCCTTTTTGGAGCTTGACATCCCTGGTCCCTGCAGGCACTGTGAAACTACATGCTCAACAGGTCAGATCTGTAGGACAAAAGCAGAGCCAGCGCGGTCAGGAAATGCTTTAGGCAATTATCAAACAGATAATTATCACTCAACTTTAACCAGTCCAACTGGACATTGTGCCAGAGGCTTTTATTCAGCTTCAAATGAACAACTGCATTGTTTAACACAATACATTTGTATCATTCAATAGATCTGAAGAGAATGCATAAAAAGTTTCAGTATGGTATGTATACATACTGTAGGCAGCTACAATCAGGAGGTTTCATCACATGACCACATAAATGACTGATTCGGAAAGCTCTACAAACTCTAGGCAGCAACTCCACGTAGGCTCACAAGTAAAAGTGCACGGGAAACTCAACACACATTTGATTTCAAAGGAGTCTGACATAAGCTTGTTGCTAAAGCATCAACACAACTCATACAAAACTACAGAGCACACATATTGTTTTTTAGTTCCTTTGTAATTAACAACATTCTGGCAGTGAATAATAAGTATATCATGAACATATTTATCTTAAATTATTTTTTCTTAACCCATCAGCAAATAGTTTGTTCTTGTTTTACACATAAAAACAATTTAGTGACAAAACAAGC